TCATTGGAATCAAATTGCTAGATAGTGTCCAACGGTCCTTAGGTAACACTTAGCACCCAAGACCTCTACATCTCACTGGAATTAAATTCCTTTAACGCCTACAGGCGTTGATGCATTGTCTATTACTATTTTAAAATGTTTATAAGCTAATTTACTCTTTTCTTACATCAAATGAGTATAGTTTGATTCTAACTATACTCATGAAACATCAATTAACCAATTTCATACTTTGTGAAGTAGATTCATTCATCAGATAGATTCATTAATCCTACATATATCAAATTATTTGATTAGAAAATACAACCACACCACCATTTCAACTACACTATTTCACATATAATTAAATATACACATCACAATCTCATACTATTTCTACCATACTTAGAGATAAACTAGTCATACTAGTATATCGTTACTTTACAATTCAATTTATCAATTAATGTATGAACATATATAAAATAACACTAATTTTTCTTAATTGAACTACGAGTCACCAACACAAAAACTCTGCTACCTCTAAAGATTACGACTTACACAGATGATTTGTTTAAATTCTAACAATCCTAACCACACAAATATCTATCTTGAGCTCTTAAAAGTCACATACAATTAAAATAAAATAAAATTAAGATAAAGACAAAAAATAAGCTTCCTTTACTTAAAAAATTCATCATATATTCATAGCACTTGACGTTGTATTATAGTGTATTTTGAACCTGAAACTACTAATCTTAAAGAAAAGTTAGAGAAAATTAAACAAATGATTTAAAAATGATAATCTTTAATAAAACAAATTTTGATTAACTCTATTTATAAGATTGACTTTTATTAATAAAAATAATAAACTTAATTTTTTAATATAATTTTTATCCTTTAACTATTTTTTAGTTGTTACAATAAGGTAATTCTAATATTTTATTAAATTAATAAAATTTTATATAAAAACAATATATATTATTTATTTAAATTTTATATATAATCTCATCAACAATTTATTTTATTGCAATTGATTCACATCAACTAAATAATAATAATAATAAAAGTTGTGAAACATGTAATTATGTTTGAAACTTGATACACAATAATTAACAATATAAAAAAATAGTTAAAGTTGCCGAAAAATGAGTCACATATCCCATGAATAAAACCAATTAGCACATATTAATTTGATTCAATTTGAAATAAAAGTTAACATTCAAAACAAATTTAATTATAGGGGTTTGAATTTTGAAACCAAAGTTATTAATTTAAACACAAAGAAATGTAATTAACTATTTATTACATTGTATACTTTCCCGCCAAATGAGTTGGCGCCCAAAACCCTCTCCCATATATAGAAACAGTAAAGAGTGAAGAGAAAAAACACAGTGATTTGAAAACTAAATCCTTAACTTTCTCTCTCTTCAATGAAGCCACAGAAACTCACCGACTACGAGCTCCAGCGGCTCCAGAACATTCGCCGGAACAATGAGATGATGGCGGCCCTCAAACTCCATTCCAAAGCCACCCAACTCTCCAATTTCAAGCGTCAAAGGTACTCACTTTTCCCTCTTCTCTCTTGTTTCACTTCCCAACTACCAAAGGCTTCAATTTCTGTGACTTACCGTGTTTTTTTGAAATCATCAGAGTTGAAGCCAAATCCACCCGCGTGAAATTGGAAAAGAAACCTAAAACCGAAATCCCAATTAAAACCGAAACCCCAATTAAAACCGAAACCCCAATTGTCATCAGTGTCAGACGCTCCCTGCGAACCAGAGGTATTCCACCAGATTGTGAGGGTCTTAACAGAGATTCCGTGGCCCCCACCACTCTCTCCAGAGAAACACCACCTCCTGTCTCCACCACTCGCTCCAAAGAAAAACCACCTTCCGTCTCAAGTTTGGGTCCCCTTTCCATGGCCACTGCTCGTGCAAGCGCTCACTCTGATAGTTCATTCATTGAGTCGCTAATGGGTATGGCCCAAGATGTCAGTGTTCCAAAAGGGAATGCGGGGGATTCCCTTGAATTGGAATCTCTGTCTTTGTATTTCGACAATATTGCGCGGGTTGTTTCTGGAAGGATTACCAATGTCAGGTTTTTTCCTACCAACAGTGTCAAAATGATTGCCGCGGGTAACAAGTTTGGGAATATTGGGTTCTGGAATATGGGAGAAAGTGAGGTTCATTTATACCGTCCTCATAATGCTCCCATTTCTGGGATTTTGATTCAATCACATTGTTGTTCAAAGGTACCGTGATGTATTGGTCTGTCTCAATTTTTTGCAACAATTATTGTATATTTGTCTAGATTATTTTGTAACTCTTACCCGTTATGGGTTGACTTGAGAATCAAACTCTTTTAACTGCGAGTTGGTTTAAGGAAATTGTTTTCTGGTAAAATATACTCATTTAGCTTTACGGGAAATGCACCCTTTTGGTAATTGTCATAGACATATAATGCATGTTAACAGTGTTTCTGTAGCAAGTTTTTATTTCAGATCTATACTGTCCTTAGGGGATTTTGAGATTGCAGAATCACCTCTTATGTCTCTCCCATTCTGATCACTTCATACTATTTACATGTTGTCTTTTGCAGGATTATCTAACGCTGTCTTCTATTTTGTATGCAGATATACACAAGTTGCTATGATGGAATTCTTCGGCTAATGGATGCTGAGAAGGAAATCTTTGATCTGGTGTTTGAGAGTGATGAAACAATATATGCTCTTTCTCAACCACCAAATGAGACAAACTGCCTATATCTTGCTGAGGGTTCTGGAGGTTTGACTATGTGGGATAACAGGGTGGGAAAACTTTCGTCGCACTGGGATTTGCATGACAGTAGGATTAACACGATAGATTTCAACTGTCAAAACCCTCACATTGTAGCTACTAGTTCCTCTGATGCAACTGCCTGCACCTGGGACTTGAGATATACTAATAGGAATGACCTCACAGCTTTGAGGACAGTTACCCACAAAAGATCTGTCCATTCTGCTTACTTCTCTCCTTCTGGAGGTAGCCTTGCAACTACAAGGTATGGAGTTTGTTCCATTATAAAATTACGAGTTTTAGACACTGAAAACAGGCTGTGTAGTGTGTTCTTAATATTGCAATCTTTTATTTTTCAGTACACTACTCCATCTCATCTAGTGGAAAAAATACTATTGTTGCTGTTGTACCAAATTTAGAAGCACATGTTAATTTGATTCCAATTTTTTCTTTATTACCCAATTGTATTGAACCTGGTGTTTATGTAATTGTGATTTTGGCCGGATGAGGTTAATATAATCTCTTAGTGCAGCTTGGACAATACTATTGGAATTTACAGTGGAGTTAACTTGGAGGATTCGGCTGTTATTTCTCATTTCAATCAGACTGGCAGATGGCTTTCTACATTCAGGTATGGTTTCTGGGAAGTATCCGAAGGTTAACTAATCATACTTCTCATTTTCAATTATGCAAAAGTTTTTCAAATCAAACCCTGGGATTTTCAACTCTTTAGAGCTGGTTTTTACATTTCAAATACGCTTCAACTCTCAGTACGCAGAGAGGATTTTTTATTTGGCATAAGGTGAAACATGTGTGAAATACGAATTTGTAATGCCACATTAAACTTGATATACCTTATAAATTGCCTATTTATTCTGAAAAAGCTGACTTTTGTGAGCGTGATCTTGCTGTTGCAGAGCGAAATGGGGTTGGGATGACAAATATCTCTTCATTGGAAATATGAATAGAGGGGTTGATGTGGTTTCAGCAGTTCAAAGGAAAATAGTTATGACGTTAGAAAGCCCACACATGTCTGCCATTCCTTGCAGATTCGATATAAACTCTTACGAGGTTGGGATGCTTGTAGGAGCTACAAGTGGAGGCCAGCTTTATGTCTGGACATCACGCTAGGATGTTTATTTAACATGCCTTCTCTTGTGTATGGTATAAAACTACTATATTTTCTGATTCTAGATTGTTTTATGTCGTATAGTATCATTCATGAGTTATAATTGAGTTGACATGATTTGATGTACTTTGTAATATTTTGCCAAGCCATTATTAGTCATAGTTTGTGGATTGTGTTGTACTGTGGGTTATATTATAGTGTAGTTAGAGGTTAAAACATGGTTTCCAATTGTTCCTGCAAAATTATTTATTGCAGTCTCTCAGAGTCCTGACATATCGAACCATGAGAAGAGCAAGAGGGAAAAGCAGGGAAATAGTTGGTCAGATTTCCGCTGTCTGTGTTGATATCATGATTCTCTTAGTAGTGTAATAGGGATTCCTCATAGCAAACTGCAACAATAATTATACTTTAATGTATACTACAGGAAATACATGATTGAGTCCACCTTTAAGATATTAAAAAAATGAAAGATATAATTAAAAAATTATTATAATGATTATTGAAATGAAAAATAGTAGTAAATTTTATATTAAAATAATTAGAAAATCATAAGCAGTTATAAAATAAAGACTTATTAAATTTTATAATAATGTTATAAAAATTAGTTATTTAATTTTATAAGTATAATAATAAAATTAATAATAGTAATAATTTTATTATTTTTATTATCGGACAAAAATAACAGACAGTAAGTCTGGCTTTTCTTTATGGTATCTATGATTATTTTTCAATTTTATTCTTTATCTAACTTTTTTTTTTAAAAAAATTATTTGATTGTTAGATGCATTGAAAAGAAGATAAGAGCGAAATCTTTAAAAAAAAGAAAGTACTTGTAGAAATGGAAGAGAGAGGAAAGGAAGAAAAGGAAAAAAAGAAAATAAAAGAAATATACGAGAATAAACAAGAGAAAGGAAAAAAAAAAACATCATGACAATTGAAAAAAAGTACTAATTTATCTTTTGTTTTGTTGACTGTAGAAGAATTGTTTGTCCAAAAAGAGTGGCACGAAGAAAGAATGATTTTAATAATCTATTAGCTTGCTTGTCAATTATTTTGGAAAGTCAAAGCCTTTATTTTTGTTTGGATACAAACTTGGAAATAAATACACATGAGTTAGTTAGTTTGTTTATTATCAACCAACCTATCGGTAAGATGCAAGTTTAAAAATATATGCACATGAGTAAGTTTGTTTGTTCCACTCTAAATAATTTAAGTACAATTAAAATTATACTTATAATTTGAGTGTTTATTTGGTTAATATTCTTTTGACTTTTTTGAGCATTACATATTTAATTTAAAAATGTGATGCTTTGTTTACATGGGTATTTGACCTTAGAGGTACACGTCTAAAGTCTTTAATAATAAGTCATTAGCCTCTTTTAGGATCCAAAATTCATTTTAGTAGAATTTTTATTTTGGATTATTTTAATTTTGTATCTTTGATCTATGTTTGTGTTTGTATTTGTGCGTATGATTTTCTATAATTCAAGTCAAATTCTCTCCAAATATAGGAGAATGATAAAAAATTTTCAAGTGGTACAAATTTGAAAACAAATTCTCTTCAAGAATGACGGTATAAAAGAAGACTATATCCTAAATATATGAGAAGAATTTGATGAAGGACATTTGCAATTCAAAGAATTCATGACAAAGTCAAGGATACAAATACTTCTCCTTAAATTATAATGTTCTATGTAAGAGGAAACTCGACGAGTATGAAGATCATGAGCACAATTGAAGAATAATTAGGAAATTAAATAAATTTTAATTTAATTTAATTTTACAAAATGTTAAATATGTTGGATGAGCCATTTTGTGTTTGTTGAGTGAGCAAGTCTCATTAGGCTAAAATGTAACACCCCGATTTAGGCTTTACAATTTATTTTCCACAAAAATACATATATAATTTTTCTTTAACAATTTTCAACACCAACAAAATATTAAGTGCTTTATTACAACACAAGTCTTCTAAAATAAAATTTCACACAGTTCATAAACTTCTGAAATTTAAAATTCCACACAGTTTGAAATTTCAAACATATTTATTTAGAAATTCCCCATGTCTCTTTTTCCCCACAGATCTCTCATCTTCTAAGCAAGTCCAGAACCATCTGCTAATTCATCTGAAATAGTTTATGCTCCCGTATAATATCACACATTATACGATCATTGCATTCACATACACAAACACAAACAATAGGGTGAGCTAACCGATTCAAGAAATATACATCATCCACAATCTTACTAACATCACAAGTGTGGCAATCAGTCCAATACATGCATCTCAAACATACTAAAAAAAA